AAAACGTTGTCAACGTTTGACAGGAGCAGCTCTGCTGTCTGCATCCGACAGAGATGCAGACCGTGTAGCTGCTCCCGCAAGTCAGGTACGCGGTCATCGCGTACCTGACTTGTCAGCTGGCTGCGGGCCATATAGTACAGGCTCGCGGGCCACAATTGCCCCCCCCCCGGGCCGGTACATTGAGACCTCTGTCCTAGATTGTTCACTTCTCCTACCTTCTCCAAACTCTTCACCCTTTTTTGAATAGCGTAGTGCGCTCCAAACTCTCAAGATCTAATACCAATTGAGCATCTGTAGGATGTGCTTGAAAAACAAGGATCGATCCAAGGAAGCCCCACCTCGCAATATACAGGACTTAACCCCTTAAGGGCCAAGGTCTTTTTTTCATTTTTTGCACCCATGATATAATCCACATTTTAGGCCTGGAAATTACTTAAAACCCCCAAACATTATATATTTTCTGAAAGCCTAGACCAGTGATGGCGAACCTTTTTGAACCCGAGTGCCCAAACAGCAACGCAAAATCAATTTATTTACCTCAAAGTGCCAGTGCTGAAAATAAGTTTAGTACTGTATTGCAGTTCGGGCGCTCGGGTTTAAGAACCGTTCAACATCACTGCCTTAGGCCCCATTCACACCAAGCGACATACCTTACAAGCGGGGGCCGGGATAGCGCGACTGTTCGGGGGCCTTCACCGTCGGGCTACATTCAAAAATAGAAACATTGCGCGACATCCGCTGGAAAAAGGGTCCTGCTGAAGCGACGAGCGATGGGCGACATGGAGCTGTACATTAGAACAGCTCCATTGAATAACATTGGCCGGCGACATCTTGCGATATCGCGTGGCAAAAATGCGCGAAATAGCGGGATTTTACGCACAGTGTGAATGGGGCCTTAGGCAAAATACGGAAACACGCATATTCAAACATTTATACACTTAATAAAACACACACACATCATGCACTTATTAAAACACACATTACAAACAAACAGAACTACTAATAAAAATGAATAAATAAAACATTGCCCCCTCTCCTGCTTACCTGTTTTGCAGGGACTATCAAACGCCAAAATTCTGTGGAAAAATGCACTTAAGTTACATTTAGGGCCACGAAACACTATATAAAACCATAAAAAAAAAAATATAATAATATACGATGAATATACGATATAATAATAACGATGAGTAGACATGTGCACCAGCAAAAAATTCGTTTAGTTTAGTTTCGTTTTGAAAAAAAAAAAGATGAGGTTACAGCGAGTAAATAGAGTACCCAACATGCCGAGGTTACAAATTGTGTGCGTCTGTGAAACTGCGACGGGATTCAGTAACCCAAAAAGCCCATAGACGATGATTTAAAAGCCCCTACAGGTCATCAGTTTAGAGATACGTGTAAATATTGGCCCTAGAATTATTGCTCTCACTCTGGCGTGCGTGGTGATACCCAACATGTGTAGCGTGATCGTTGTTTTCATATGTAGGTTTACCCGACGCGTGTGCTCGCTGGAGCGGGGGGACTTCAAAAAAAATTTAAATGATTTTTACATTTTATTTATTTAATATTATTTTTAATACTGTTTTTTTTTTTTTTTTTTTTTTAATATCACATAGGGGGGATTACAAGCCCCCATGTGATAGCATATTTTCAGTGACAGGTACTCTTTAAGGTGATACTGGGGGTCCAAAAGACCCCTAGTATTACCTTTATACTCAGATCACACTTCAATAGCTTGTAGCTGGACTTCAGGAGCCCAGCAATGACAGCTATGGGACTGGAAGTGATGCAATACGTGTCTCTCCTGGTCCCATAGTACGGGGAGGAAACCGATCTCCTCCCCAGTTTCCCGCCTACACCCGGCAAGCCGGTCCCGGGCCCGTAGGAGGGGCAGCGGAGCCCAGGAAACAAGGCGGGGGGCGGTTACCGGATCGTAGAAGCAATCTGGCAGCAGCTGAGCCACCAGAACCGGTTCTACTGTAAAGCCGGCCACCGCATCTGCAAAACTGAACAGACTAGCCGCCGGCAATCTGTTTAACCCCTTCAAACTTCATGACAGGATTATCACGTCATGGGTTGTGAAGGGGTTAAAGAATCTCCTACTGACAGCTTGTTGCCAGATACCACAGCATACATTCAGAGGTCTAGTGGAGTCCATGCCTCAACAGTTCAGGGCTATTTTGGTGGCCAAAGGGAACCTACTACGTATACCGTATATACAGTATATAATCTAGACTACAAGAGTGCCACATACAGTCAGAATTTGTTTAAAGTTTTATCTATCATAACATAATATGACAACACCTACAGAAATGCCTAAGTAACCCATTCAAACTAAATTCTGCCAGGTATCCTGGATTTTTTTATTGAGATCTGAAACAAATTCTCATTGTGAATGCTCATCATAAGAGTTCTGTTTAAAAATGTACCTCCTTATTAATTCTAATTCCACTTTTGTTGAGAGAAAAGTCAATACCCTCTGGGTGATCTGTGTACATTACAAGGATTTAAACAAACTATGTTGCAGTTTCCTGCCTGTTTCTGTTCTGAAGAAAAAGCTGTTTGTTGCAGCAGGTCCTTTCCAAACTGATCCCTGAATGGGAGGGTTTGTATTCAATATAACCAGCTGGTCAGCTTCCTGTTTTGTAATCAGGAAAGGCGCAGTGTTGGCATCCCTGTACTAGTAATGAACCTTTAGAGAGTATCTCACCAAAAATGAAATTGCTATTGCAAGGGATGCCAAAAATGATACTTGTATCTTAGTGCAGTCTTCTGGGAAAACCAGTCAGCAATCAAAGAAGCAGGAAGTTACATTTCTGGGGGCATTCAGTACACTAACTGTATACAGAATGCCTCTAGGTCCCTGAATTGCACTGTATTGCATTTAATTTTTTTGACAGATTTAGAACATTACAGCGGCTACAGTTTTTTTTTTAAAGTGGAGTTTGCCTTGATCTACCTTGGGGTTCCTGTAATCTTCATAAATACTTGGGGCCTTTGTGAAATCATAGGACTCTAAAGTGAATCTAATATCCTTATACTGTAAGTTGTGATGGATGTATTATTCCACATAGGTATACAGAATAATTATTATTATTCCTTTTATTTGTATTATTATGTATAATGTTGTACGTGCATAGAGCTATTGTATTTAAGAATTCAGTATCATAAAACAGGTAACAGCTAAGGTTATTATAAGTAAGTCAGTCAATAAAAAGGCTGACTTCAGAATTTATTTACTGCATATTCAAAATACCATTTGACCTATCATTTAAAAAATAATAATTTAAAGTAAAAATTGTTAGGATTTTGCTGTGTCCACTGCACCTGGTTATGCTACCATTTATTGATTGAACAAAATCCTGTAATGATTTTTCTGTGCAATCTCAGACTTATTTAAAAAGGGAGTACAAAGTACATTTAGCAATAGCACCCAATCAGATTCTACCGTTTACATCAGTAACAAAAATGAAAGTCTATTATTGAATAGGTTGCTATAAGATACAGCGATTTGCACATTGACCTGCTCTTTTTGAAACAAGCTAGCTGGTGTGTTAGAGGAAACTGCTTGCTTTATAAATGTTATCTAACAGCAGCAAAACCATTTATATACAATGTTGATTCACAGGAGCACGATTTTGCCTATTGTTTAGTTATTATATATATTATTGTATATATTATTATTATTATACAGGATTTATATAGCTGCATGTAATCGTATCACATATGATTACATGCGGTGTGCAGGCGTTTACATGCAGCAGCTGTCACACGATCATTATTATTATTATACAGGATTTATATAGCGCCAACAGTTTGTGCAGCGCTTTACAAATTTTTAAATAATAATAATAATGACACCAGTGAACAACATTATAATAATAATAATAATAATAATGACACCTGAGCATGTCCCCTGGTTTCATCATATTATTATGTTATTATTATTATGATGTCTCCTGGTGTCATTATTATTATGTACCCTGGTGTCATTATTATTGGGTCCCCCCTGGTGTCATTATTATTGGGTCCCCCCTGGTGTCATTATTATTGTGTTTCCCCTGGTGTCATTATTATTGGGTCCCCCTGGTGTCATTATTATTGGGTCCCCTGGTGTCATTAGTCGGCTCTATTGATTGAGAACTGAGCAATCACATACTGCTGATCACTCAGTTCCTGCACTCACTCTTTCTGCAGAGAGCGGTGACTGTCAGTCACCTCTCCCCGCAGGGATTCCCCCCTCCCCTCTTTGATCCTCCTGCGCTGACTGGAGGGACAGATGGGGGAGGGGGTGAACATAGTCTCTAGAGAGGCAGAGTCAGCTATCAATCAAGTGGTAGGGTGGATCTGGCAATATTTTTTACATCCATCCCAGCTGCAGCGCGGCTCTGCGCCGTCAGCATATAGCGTGCAATATTGCATGGGGGGAGCGTGGCAGGTAGGGAGTGGGGCGTGGTGAGGGGCCCAAGAAAATGCTTGCCCGGGGCCCTGGTCGAGACGAGAGATAACAAGTGAGTGGATGAGTAATTTTGTGGTTTCTTTGGTGAGGAAGGGGCGTATTTTGGAGATGTTATGAAGGTGAAGGCGGCAGGATTTGGATAGTGATTGGATGTGGGGAAGAAAGGTGAGGTCCGAGAGAGGGAGACACCTAGGACCTTGGCATGGAGGGAGGGTTGGATAGTTGTGTTAACACTCTCAAGGGAAAAGTTGGGGGAAGGTGCACGGGTAGGAGGAAATATCAAGAGCTCAGTTTTTGAAAGGTTGAGTTTTAAGAAGTGTTGCGACATCCAGACCGATATGTCAGTTAGTAGATTAGTGACACGCAAGGACACAGAAGGGGTGAGTTGTGGAGTAGAAAGATATATTTAGTTAATAAAGTTAGCTAAATAGAAAATCAATTCTTTATTAAAATAATATGTTTTGTTGACAAATATTCTATTAAAAGTAAGAGTGAAAGACCTAACAGTTATCTGCATTTAACACTTTGTACAAATTACTTGCAGGTCAGTAATATTTCCTTCCTGTTGGTGGGTCCCCTCATGATGTACCTCTTGCACCCATATGCCTGCAGACGCACACTGATGGTCCACGGAGTCTGGATCTTGTTTATTGTGATTGGTATGTTCTATTATCTTTCAAGCAAAGAAATGTATTGCTCTTACTGAGAATTTAATGTTCACTGTTTGTATGTTTTGTAAAATATTTTACCATCCAAGTAAAATTAGATGGATTCAGTAATAACATGTTTTTTACTTTAGGTCTCTTCTCCATATACTACCACATGACCCTTAGTTTCTTTGGCCAGTTACTTGATGAGATCTCCATTATGTGGGTTATTTGCCTTGGCTATTCTATATGGTTTCCTCAGACTTATTTCCCCAGATTCATCAGAAGCAGGTAGGACTGATATGTTATTCAGCAGTAATATGTTTATGTCTGTAACAGATCATGATAATCTATGTATGCTTTCACCACTCCCCTTTCATGTGATGCTTTGCAGTCTCTCATGCAGTCTTCTCCACTCCGACATATTCTTCTGCAGCCTCAGTGCTCCAGGGCTGCAACAATGAATTGATTAAATCGATTCTAATCAATAGTTGTCACCGATTCTAACTATTGATTAGTTGATTTTCGATTATTTGCAGCCGCTGCCGCTCTCCTCCCCGCTGGTGCTGGCTGCAGCGGTATGTGTCCCTTTTAATCCCCGCCGCTTTCCCCGCCTGTATCGGCAAAAGCAGTAGGGACACAGACCACTGTAGCCGGCACCAGCGGGAAAAAGAGACTGCGGTGACTCTGCATTTCCCGCCTGCCCCTCCCCCCCTCGTACCTCCGCTAATGCTAAACTCCGGGGCATTGATAGAACAACGGCGTCAAGTCTCCCATCAGCGGCTAGAAACAATAGCTATTGGATATTTTAAATTGCCATAGCCAATAGCAGGCTGGCTATTGCACCCGCCCACTGCCTGCTGTCAATCAGCAGAGGAGGACCTGAAGGAGAACTTTCTCCTTCAGTTCCCTCCTCTGCTGATTGACAGCAGGCAGTGGGTTGGTACAATAGCCAGCCTTATATTGGCTATTGTAATTTAAAATAGCCAATAAGAGGCTGGCTATTGCTCCTAGCCACTGCATGCTGTATTTACATTCAGCTGCCTCAGCAGGCAGCTGTAATTCCCCAGTAAAGTGGAAAGGTGACACTAGGTGTCTATTAGACCCCCTAATGTCACCTTAAAGAGAACCTGTCATCTTAAATGTGCTATCACATTTAAGAGTTTAAAGTCCCCCGACCCCGCAAATGCCCACATACTCACACAAGTCGGGAGCACCTACGTATGAAAATGACGATTGCGCTACACATGTCAGGTATCGCCGCGTGCGCCGGAGTGAGAGCAATCATTTTACGGACAATATTCATGGCTAACTCTAAACTGATAACCAGGCTTTTATTTATTTTAAATAAAAGTTTAGCTATTTTATTATATTGGAGTTTTACAATTCATATTACTGTAAATCCATTTATCTAACTTAAATGTCTAATATAATACATACAATTATTAAATAAATATAGTTAAAAAAAGTGGAAAAAGTAATTTTTTGTTTCAGCCTGACAAATTCTGCTGCAGGATGTGTGTTGTGGTCCCATTCATTTGATTGGCACCCCAAACATGCCTCCCGTCTGCAGTGTGATCGCCTGCACTGGACACACTGCAATGCTGTGCATTCCAGTGCCGTGCGATTGCAAAAACTGTCCATGCAGTTTTATTCTGTAGTAAACTTTTCTTGTAACACAACATTTGTGTATTTCATTTAATTTTTTCTTCAACCGTTTAATAGAAAAAAATAATTGGCCAACTATGAAAATAATTGTTAGTTGCAGCTCTACACTGCTCCTCTCTCCTGTTTGGCTGTGTCTCTGCAGTCTCTCATCTCCTCTCTTTCTTTGTGTAGCTTTATCTTCTGCAGCCCCTCACTGCTTCTCTCTCCTGTTTGACTGTGTCTCTGCAATTACTCATATTGTCACTTTAAAAAAACAAATTCATGAATACTGTATAGAACATATCCATGTAGACACGCATGGGTGTACAGTATATGCATCCAAATGCATACATTTATTCTAGTTAAAAGTTTGCCCACAATTTACTATATTTTGCTTCAAAGATATACTAGCGGACTGACTTTTTGCACAGCTAGATTCCAAACATTGGCAACCCATAAGGAAGCAGCAGTTCTCACTCACTTATGTGACTGTCCTCTGCTTTTACATTATCATCTTTTCCAAATGGCTGGGAATACTCTGCACCATCTGCTGGTCGATATAGGGCACTACAAGCAGATGTATAAAAAGCATGCCTGTCCCTTGACTGCTCCTTCCTTCTTCCATCTTTCCCCCCTGCCTGTCCCAAACCCTCTACCCACCCCTTGTATGTTTCCCTCTCCCCGTACCCCCAGAACGGTCTCAGAGATCGCTACTACGTTCCCAAAGTGTATAACCTACCGCATCGGGCAGACCTTACGATACCGGTATAGTTACTTTTACTCACCTCACTAAGGCGATGCATACTATTTAACATATGGCAAGCCCTTCGAGGGTACATGGACTCGACATACTTTCATTGACTGCATTAATCGAGGTTGATCTATATGTCAATTCCAAATAGAATATGCAATACTATATTACATTTACCTTTGTTGTTACATGCTTCATGGATAAAACTGTCCAATAAAGAATTTATATAAAAAAAAAAAAGCATGCCTGTAATGTCAGCAGCCAATTAAAGAAGTTCTAAAGTCCCAGCATATACTATCTTGTTATAACATGATCATTGTAATAGGAATACATACTATAGTTCTTTTTGATAATGCAATCAAAGATTACTTTAAAAAAAATCCCTTTTATGTAGTAAGTCCTGCCTTCTCTCTGCCCAACTTTAACAACTACCTTGATTCCCAGTGTGCTTTGCATCTCTTAGCTGCTTGATGTGATGCAGTCTTGATTTCTCAAGACTACATAGCCCATAATCCATTGCTTCCAGCAAGCAATGATAATATTACATTGTTCAGACTTGAGTTGTAGTTTAGAAGGTAGGCTCTGTGAGGTGTGACACAAGGAAGTGCATAGTCACAGAGTGAAAATGTGGACAATCTCACCTGGACACAAACAGCGCAGCCATCAGCATGTTAAAGCAGGCTGTGCAATTACTTGTGAAGGACCTGCAAACAGCTGTGAGCAGTGGTTGCTGTCCATGGATTATACAGTGCCTCCCGCCCGGAGCAGATCCCATGACTGTCACAGAGGAATTCATGAGAATAATGTGTTTGGCCCCATTCCCCATGAGGATAATGCGTTTGACCCCAGTGGGAAGTCATGTGCCAGGACTGCCATCAGGGGGGTACGGCCGATACTCATGTAAGGGGCCCGGGCAGCCTGTGTGGGGCGCGCTCGGAAGCCCTACATGAGTATCGACCTACAGTGACAGGCAAAGATGCAGACGGCCCCCGCAGCAGCAGCGGCGGAGGCCTGGCCCTAGCAGCGCAGGGCCCCAGCATTGCCGCTCCAGTGGCTTCGAAACAAGCTAGGGCCCGCTTCTCGTCTGAATGCTGACTGACCGGAAGTGAAGTCATGTTAGTGCCGTGACGTCACTTCCTCCCAGTCAGGCGGCAGAGGAGGCATGGGGTGCAGGTAAGAGGAGCTGGGAGGGAGGGGGATGCAGCCCTGACCAGCCCACCTGAGACCCCTTTAGAGCCCACCATAGACAGCCTCAGATGGGCTTTGCAGCATCTATGGTGGGCTCTGCAGGGTCATTGTCAGGTGGGTCCTGCGTCCAGTGCGCAGTCACTAAGCCCTGCGTCCAGCGCGCCCTCACTAAACCCTGCGTCCAGCGCATTGTCACTAAGCCCTGCGTCCAGCGCATCGTCACTAAGCCCTGAGTCCAGCGTGTCCTTACCAAGCCCTGCGTCCAACACGTCGTCACTAAGCCCTGCGTCCAGCATTGTCACTAAGCCCTGCGTCCAGCGCGCCGTCACTAAACCCTGCGTCCTGCGCATCGTCACTAAGCCCTGCGTCCAGCGCATCGTCACTAAGCCCTGAGTCCAGCGTGTCGTTACCAAGCCCTGCGTCCAACGCGTCGTCACTAAGCCCTGCGTCCAGCATTGTCACTAAGTCCTGCATCCAGCGCGTTGTCACTAAGCCCTGCGTCCAGCATGTTGTCACTAAGCCCTGCGTCCAGCATGTTGTCACTCAGCCCTGCGTCCAGGGGGGGGTCACTAATCCCGGAGTGCAGGGGGTCACTCAGCCCAGCGTCCAGGTGGTCACTAATCACAGAGTCTGGGGGGTCACTAAGCCCAGAGTCCAGGTGGTCACTAAGGGTTAGTTCACACCATAAGCAGTGCGTTCCGGTTTTATCCTGGCCGGAACACATTGCCCGCATTGCGGCCGGTTCACTTATTTGCCGAGCTGGAGGGGGCGTGACGGGCCATTAAAGTTAATGGTACCATAGTCACGCCCTCCGGCCGCAATGCGATTTCCCGCACGGGTTCCCAAGCCACATCGTGCCTGCAGTGCGTTTGGGTGCGGTGCAATCAAAATAGTGCTTGCAGCATTGCGGACGGAGGGCATGGCTACGGTGCCATTCACTTCAATGGCCCGCCACGCCCCCTCCAGCCCGGCAAAAAAGTGAGTTGGTCGCAATGCGGGCAGTGCGTTCTGGCCAGAATCGGACCGTAATGCACTGCTTATGGTGTGAACTAACCCTAAGCCCTGCGTCCAGTAGACATGTGCGATTCAATTCAGAATAATTGGTTTTTCGGACAAAATTAGTTAGCGGTAGTCTGTACGCATTTTCGTTTGTGGATGAATTTTCATTGCAGCAAAGGGACATAAAAAATTAAATTAAACGAACGATACAAACATGAAACGGAAATGAACATTCGTACAGACTACCGCTAACAAATTTCGTCCGAATCCCAATCCCAAAACACAAAATAATGCAAAATCCGAATAAAAATAATGAAACTAAACAAATCTCTTGCCGGTGCAAGACCCGTGGAGTCCAGCGGGTAATGTGAGTGACTCTGGGGGGACATTAGAATGTAAGCTCCTCTGTACATAGATCGATGTGACTGTGCGGGGGGACACATTAGAGTGTAAGCTCCTATGTACAGAGACTGATGGGACACGACGCAGAAGCCACGCCCACCGCACACGCCGCTGAAGCTGCTGCTCCTCTACTCGCAGTGAGCTCCCTCACTCGCCGCACTCTTGATGTGACTGGGTCCTCCCCGCTGCGTGACAGTCTCCCCACCGCGCCACACGACACGACTCCTCCCCGCCATATGGACTCGCCGCTTCTCCTACCTGCAAGCAGCATCTCCCCGCCTCACAGACTCGCCGCGGCCCGCCC